TACATGGCATTGGGGACTCAGATAACCCAGTTCAAAACACATATTTTGGTTTATTCTTGATATTCTGGGTTATGTGGTTGTGTGGAAGGGCCCTAAGCTTTCTTAATTTCAGCCCCAAGCTTTCCACATAGCTGAATAAAATCCCATAGTATCTGCTTTGAATTGGGATATATGGCATTGGGGACTCAGATAACTCAGTTCAAAGCAGATATTGTGGTATTTCTGCCTTGATATTCCGGGTTATGTGGTTGTGTGGAAGGGCCCTAAACTTTCTTAATTTCAGTCCCAAGCTTTCCACACAGCTGAATAAAATCCCACAGTATCTGCTTTGAACTGGGATATATGGCAGTGTGGACTCAGATAACTCAGTTCAAAGCAGATATTGTGGTATTTCTGCCTTGATATTCCGGGTTATGTGGTTGTGTGGAAGGGCCCTAAACTTTCTTAATTTCAGTCCCAAGCTTTCCACACAGCTGAATAAAATCCCACAGTCTCTGCTTTGAACTGGGATATATGGCATTGGGGACTCAGGTAACCCAGTTCAAAGCAGATATTGTGGGTTATTCTTGATATTCTGGGTTATGCGGTTGTGTAGAAGGGCCCTAAACTGTCTTAATTTCAGTCCCAAGCTTTCTAAGGTCCCTTCCACACAGTATCTGCTTTGAACTGGGATATATGGCATTGGGGACTCAGATAACCCAGTTCAAATAAGATATTGTGGGTTATTCTTGAGATTCTGGGTTATGTGTTTGTGTGGAAGGGCCCTTAGCCAAGCTGTTTGTGTGGGTGAAGTGTCAACACAGGAACAGCCTGCAAGGCCAAGCCTTTGCCTTTTCTTCCCCCCAGACTCGCCTTCCTTCATCAACATATGCCTCATTGCTGATGCAACAAATGTAAATATCCTCCATCTCCCCCTTGCACAGAATGTTAAGTGAAAAGTCCAACAGTTTGCGAGGCTGTTTAAGTCAGCCGAACAGATGCAAGGAGCCTTGGAGCCGGAGTGGGCATCTTTGAGGCCCTTAAAAAGATTTGCCATGCCCAACAAAGGAAACTGTCACACCTTTTCCCGTCAGCGCGCTAATGTATGCGCCCTCGCCCCGTTTGCGTCCATATTGATTTCATAATCACTTTAAGGCAGAACACTTCCCCTCAAAAGGGGCTTTGGCTCCGGCCCGCGTCGCTGAGGGCGCTTTTTGTCGCCTTCTCCTCCTTGCTGGTCGCCTCTCATTGTGCGCCGGGGCTTTCTCCTCGTGTGCTTAACTCTCTTCACGGGCTGTTGGGGAGGTTAACCCCCTTCCAGGCCTCTTTCATGTCCACCACAGCGTTTGTTTGTAAAAGAAAATGTCAAAAGAAAACGCCTCTGTCAACGCATTCACGCCGGGCCAAAGGATTTAGAGGGTGGCGCTGGGGAGAATACACAAACAGGCAGGAAAAATGGGGAGGGGGGGGGATATTGGGAGGTTTCTGGGGTGTTAGGTGGTTTCCATACTGCATTGCCATGTCTCGCCTGTATCTTCAGAAGACTGAATCCGTGGACACATAGGACCATAACTATAACACAATGGCCTCTTCCACACAGCTGAATAAAATCCCACAATATCTGCTTTGAATTGGGATATATGGCAGTGTAGACCCAGTAACCCAGTTCAAAGCAGATATTGTGGGATTTTCTGCCTTGATATTCTGAGTTAGATGGCAGTGTGGAAGGTCCTCCAGAATATCAAGGTAGGCAATCCTACAATATTTGTTTTGAATTGGGATATATGGCAGTGTGGTCTGAGCTATTCCAGCTCAAAGCAAATATTTTGGGATTTCCTGCCTTGATATTCTGAGTTAGATGGCAGTGTGGAAGGTCCTCCAGAATATCAAGGTAGGCAATCCTACAATATTTGTTTTGAATTGGGATATATGGCAGTGTGGTCTGAGCTATTCCAGCTCAAAGCAAATATTTTGGGATTTCCTGCCTTGATATTCTGAGTTAGATGGCAGTGTGGAAGGTCTTCCAGAATATCAAGGCAGGCAATCTTACAATATTTGCTTTGAATTGGGATATATGGCAGTGTGGACTAAGTAACCCAGTTCAAAGCTAATATTGTGATATTTTCTGTCTTGATCATCTGGGAGATAGGGCTGTGTGGACACTGGAATATATGGCAGTGTGGACTCAAATAACCCTCTTCAAAGCAGATATTGTGGGATTTTCTGCCTTGATAATCTTGGTTACATGACTGTATGGAAGGGCTCCCAGAATATCAAGGCAGGCAGTCCCATAATATCTGCTTTGAATTGGGACTCACATAGCCCAGTGGGATTTTCTGCCTTGATATTCTGGATTAGATGGCTGTGTAGAAAATCTCCCAGAATATCAATAGGCAATCCCATAATATCTGTTTTGAATTCGGATATATGGCAGTGTGGACTCAGATAACCCAGTTCAGAGCCGATATTGTGGGATTTTCTGCCTTGATATTCTTGGTTACATGACTGTATGGAAGGGCTCCCAGAATATCAAGGCAGGCAATGCCACAATATCTACTTTGAATTGGGATATATGGCGATATGGACTCTGATAACCCACTTCAAAGCAAATATTGTGGGATTTTCCGCCTTGATATTCTGGATTAGATGGCTGTGGGGAAGATCTCCCAGAATATCAGTAGGCAATCCCATAATATCTGCGTTGAATTCGGATATATGGCAGTGTGGACTCAGTAACCTCAGTAATATATGGCAGTGTGGACACTTCAAAGCAGATATCGTGGGATTTTCTGCCTTTATATTCTGAGTTAGATGGCTGTGTGGAAGGTCCTCCAGAATATCAAGGCAGGCAATCCCACAATATCTGCTTTGAATTGGGATATATGGCAGTGTGGACTCAAATAACCCGCTTCAAAGTAAATACTGTGGGATTTTCCGCCTTGATGTTCGGGGGTTAGATGGTTGTGTGGAAGATCTCCCAGAATATCAATAGGCAATCCCATAATATCTGCTTTGAATTCGAATATAAGGCAGTGTGGACTCAAATAACCCAGTTCAAAGCAAATATTGTGGGATTTTCTGCCTTGATATTCTGAGTTAGATGGCTGTGTGGAAGGTCCCACTGAATATCAAGGCAGGCAATCCCACAATATCTGCTTTGAATTGGGATATATGGCAGTGTGGGCTCAGATAACCCAGTGTTTTCCCCCATGTCAGGAGCGACTTGAGAAATTGCAAGTTGCTTCTGCTGTGAGAGAATTGGTTGTGTACAAGGACGTTGTCCGGATGTTTTGATGTTTTACCATCCTTGTAGGAGACTTCTGTCATGTCTCCACATGAGGAGCTGGAGCTGACAGAGGGAGCTCATCAGCACTCTCCCTGTCGGTCTTCAGTCCATTGCGCCACCGGGGCTCCTAGATAACCCAATTCCAAACAGATATTGTGGGGTTTTCTGCCTTGATATTCTGGGTTGTAGGGCTGTGTGGAAGTGCCCCTGAAATATCAAGGCAGAAAATCCCACAATATCTGCTTTGAACTGGAATATATGGCAGTGTGGGCTCAGATAACTCAGTTCCAAGCAGATATTGTGGGATTTTCTGCCTTGATATTCTGGGTTATATGGCTATGTGGAATCACACGATTTTAGTTCCTGGTTTTAAAAATGTCATTTCCTAATTGGTTCTCTCATATAAAAACATGGGGGAAAGTTACCCAAACTTTGCGAGAGGGACATCATATAGCACATTTTGTCCTTTTTTCATTGAATAGCTTCTAGAGTCTCAAATAATTCAACATAGTTTGTAGCAGCCACACAAAAAAAGTTTCAGGTATAGAGCAAGTTAGCAACTATTTTCCAAAGTAAGGGGCCTTTCCACACATCCATATAACCCAGAATATCAAGGCAGAATAATTCACAATATCTGCTTTGAACTGAATTATCCTCGTTGAACTGAATGAAATCCTCGTTGAATTGGATTATATGGCAGTGTGGACTCAGATAAGCCAATTCAGAGCTGATATTGTGCGTTATCTGCCTTAATATTATGGATTACATGAATGTGTAGAAGGGCCCCTAGTGCCCAGTGCTCTTTAGTTTTTTCCTAGGGCCCTTCCACACAGCCATATAACCCAGAATACTAAGGCAGAATAATCCTTCAAACTACAAGAAAGGAGATTCCATCTGAACATGAGGAAGAACTTCCTGACTGTGAGAGCTGTTCAGCAGTGGAACTCTCTGCCAGAGTGTGGTGGAGGCTCCTTCTTTGGAGGCTTTTAAGCAGAGGCTGGATGGCCATCTGTCAGGGGTGCTTTGAATGCAATTTTCCTGTTTCTTGGCAGGGGTTGGACTGGATGGCCCATGAGGTCTCTTCCAACTCTATGATTCTATTATCCTAACCCACAATATCTGCTTTGAACTGGAATATCTGAGTCCACACTGCCATATATCCCAGTTCAAAGCAGATTATTGTTTCATTTTATTCAGTTGTGTGAAATGGGGCCCAGTTTGAGTCTCCAAATATGACTGAAGGACAACTCCCATCATTTTTTATAATTATGCACCATGCAGACTGGGGATTATGGGAACTACAACCCAATTACCCTGGTGGCCCTGAGGTTGGGAAAGGGTAAAACGACATTTTGAAGACAGTTTGAGTCACCAAATGTTATTGAATAACAATGTTCTTATTATTATTATTATTATTATTATTATTATTATTATTATTATTATTTTCCACCATACTGACTGGGGATAATGGGAACTGCAACCCAACCGCTCTTGTGACCCTGAGGCTATGGAAAATTAAAATGACATTTTAAAGACAGGCATTTAAAGACATCCACAAGCCTTGTATCTAAATTCAAGCTGACTCAATAGAACAAAATGCAGGCTTCCAGATATTACCTGCCTGCTTGCCATATAAAGACCTGTTACCTGACTGGGGTAGTTTGTTTTGCAAAGAAGGCCCCTCTCCCTTGACTCTCCATCTGTGTCTAATGCGGATTTATTCTCTTCCTTCCAGGGCTCCGTGGAAGCCCAATGTGGACTCATGCTGAACGGCCAAGGAGGGGTGATAAGGAGAGGTAAGCCGGCTCCAAAAAGCCACGTTTGGGCTTCTTATTCCAACACATCCCTCTTCCCTCTGCCTTCAGGATTTAGCATTTTATTGTGGGATAACTAAATCCGGAAGGAGGGGGAAATCCCATCTGTGTAATGAGGGAGAGTTTTAAGTATTTTCGAAGGCTTTCATGGCTGGAATCACTGGGTAATTGTAGGTTTTTCGGGCTATATGGGCATGTTCTAGAGGCATTCTCTCCTGACGTTTCGCCTGCATCTATGGCAAGCATTCTCAGAGGTTGTGAGGATGCTTGCCATAGATGCAGGCGAAACATTAGGAGAGAATGCTTCTAGAACATGGCCATACAGCCCGAAAAAAACCTACAACAACCTCATAATAATAATAATAATAATAATAATAATAATAATAATAATAATTATTATTATTATTATTATTATTATTATTATTATAGTGTGTTGTGTGGTTTTCGGCTCTGTTCCAGAAGCATTCTCTCCTGGCATCTATGGAAAGCATCTTCAGAGGTTGTGAGGTCCTCACAACCTCAGAGGATGCTTGCCATAGATACAGGCGAAACGTCAGGAGAGAATGCTTCTAGAACATGGCCATATAGACCAAAAAACCTACAACCCAATGAGGAAGTATAGTGTTCCCTCGCTACTTCGCAGTTCCTGAGCATACGGTACAATGTTGTGAGAAAGCTCCAAACCTGTCAGCAAAGCTTGTGTCCTGTGAAAGGGTTTTAGGGTTTGTGTTATTGCATCTTTAGTAAAGGTAAAAGTTTTCCCCTGACATTAAGTCTAGTCGTGTCCGACTCTGGGGGTTGGTGCTTATCTCAATTTCTAAGCCGAAGAGCCGGCTTTGTCCGTAGACACCTCCAAGGTCATGTGGCCGGCATGACTGCATGGCGCGCCTTTACCTTCCCGCCGCCGGAGCGGTACCTACCTATTCATCTACTCACATTTGCATGTTTTCGAACTGATAGATTGGCAGAAGCTGGGGCTGACAGCGGGAGCTCATCCCGTTCCCCAGAATCGAACCTGCGACCTTTTGTTTTGATAGTGGTATATAATATTCGACTCCTAGTCGACACCTATGACGCATTTTTTTTCCAATTTGGTGAGATTTGGTACATTTTTTGGGAAACAAAACTCTAGAAACAGAAGCCTAGAAGGGACAGAGAACAACAGATTTGGAGGCAGAATAGTCCAAGAGAATGGCTTTCCTTTTGCTTTGTGTCTTGTATTTAACAGCTAAACACAAGTGTTTGCACTCAGGGTGGTCTACTACCCCCCCCCCCCCCGAAATGCATTACTTGAGAGTAAATTCAGCTGAAAATCCTCAGTTTCCAAGGGAGAAAATGGAAGCAAATTCGTCTCCCTCTTGGTCCAATTTGGACCGTGTGCTTCTTTGGAGAGGGAACTCACATTGTGTTTTGTGTACTATAATTTCATGTCCTTGCTTCGGATATAATTGATATTAGTTTAGTTATAGGTCAGTTTAAGAGTGAGCCGACATTGAGGAAGACGAAGCTTTCCCCTATTCAAACACATGTTGTTAGATCTGTTTCAGGGTGTATTTGACCTGCTCTAGTGCTTGAGATACACAACATATGCCATCTACCAGTCGCCATCTGCCCACCCATAGAAAACAAAGATAACTAATCTAAGAAACTAGAGTTGATGTAGTCTATCCAATGCAATTTTCTGAATCAGTGCCCTTAAAAACCCCAGGAAAAAGTCTAAAAACCAAGACACCAAGAATATTATTATTGGGCTTCTGTGAGTTTTCCGAGTTGTGTGGTTCCAGAAGCATTCTCTCCTGACGTTTCGCCCACATCTATGACAGGCATCCTCAGAGGTTGTGAGGTCTATCGTCATCATCATCATCATCATCATTCGCTCACATCTATGACAGGCATCCTCAGAGGTTGTGAGGTCTATTATTATTATTATTATTATTTGAAACACAACAAGATGAGTCCACAGCAGACAGTCTGCTGTATTGGATCACACGTCGGACACTTCCCAAGTGTCTAGAACTGTGTGATGTATCGGCGAATAATGCATGCAGATCCCAGTAAGGTGGCCTTCTGTAATTTTGTCAGCGAGGATTGTGTTTAAGTGCAGACCAAGGTCTGTGGGCACTGCACCCAGTGTGCCGATCACCACTAGGACCACCTTGACTGGCTTGTGCCAGAGTTGTCGCCTTCTTCTTCTCCTTCTTCTTCTGCTTCTGCTTCTTCTTCTTCTTCTTCTTCTTCTTTTTCTTCTTCTTCTTCTTCTTGTTATTATTATTATTATTATTATTATTATTATTGTCATCATCATCTTCATTTTATATTATATTATAAAATTGTTGTTATTACACTCCATTTCGAGGTGCATAGGGGCAAACCCGGGCCCTTTCTATGCAGCTGTATAAAATCCAGGTTATCTTTTTTGAACTGCATTATATGGCAGTGTAGACTCAGATAATCCAGTTCAAAGCAGATAATGTGGCTGGATATTCTGGTTTATATGGCAGTGTAGAAGAGCTCTGGGCGACGGGATTAGTGGCCCGTATTGCAGTCTAGTCAATGCAATTTTTTGGATCAACAACCCAAATAAGCCTAGGAACAGACCTAAAAACCAAAACAACAAGACATTTGTTTTGGTTGGGCTGTTATTTATTTATCGCGAGTCCTTTATTTCTATCCCGTCTTTCCAAGGCGGCTAATAGGGATAGATTTACATTGAAAGATTAGTTGATAGGGTTTCTTTCACACGTTCCCCCTTCAGGTGTCACAATACTGTCAGAAGTGGTTTCCTCTGAAAGTACTGTCTCTGAAAAAGACAGTAGCTAATCTCAGAGCCAAGCATCCTTTTGGTTAATTCTGTTTAAGGAAACCCTGGGAAAAGGTATGGCGTGGTCATAAGAAACCGTAGCTGGTGGTGCTGAAGTGGACAGCTCCCCGGTTCCTTATTCACAGGCATAGTGTTAAGAAGCTGTAGCTGGTGGTGCTGAAGTGGACAGCTCCCCGGTTCCTTATTCACAGGCATAGTGTTAAGAAGCTGTAGCTGGTGGTGCTGAAGTGGACAGCTCCCCGGCTCCCTATTCACAGACGTGGTCATAAGAAGCCGGAGCTGGTGGTGCTGAAGTGGACAGCTCCCCGGTTCCTTATTCACAGGCATAGTGTTAAGAAGCTGTAGCTGGTGGTGCTAAAGTGGACAGCTCCCCGGTTCCTTATTCACAGGCGTAGTGTTAAGAAGCCATAGCTGCTGGTGCTGAAGTGGACAGCTCCCCGGCTCCTTATTCCCAGGCATAGTGTCAAGAAGCTGTAGCTGGTGGTGCTGAAGTGGACAGCTCCCCGGCTCCCTATTCACAGACGTGGTCATAAGAAGCCGGAGCTGGTGGTGCTGAAGTGGACAGCTCCCCGGTTCCTTATTCACATTCGTGTTCATAAGATGCCGGAGCTGGTGGTGCTGAAGCGGACAGCTCCCCAGTTTCTTATTCTCAAGCGTTGCTTTTCTAATACTCCCCATTCTCTGCGATAAGGGCGGAGAGGGTGATTTGGGAGTGTGTATTTTTTTAGTTCTTTGGAATTGGAGGGATTTGTGTGACAAGCAAGCGCGTCGACTTTGAGGCTGAGTCCTTTCTAAAAAGGAAGGCAACGCTTCTCTTTCTTTTACTCACTTGCCTGGGCCTGCCTGTGCCTGTGATGGGTTTCTCTGTATGTGTGTGTACTGCTTGACTGGACTTTAATCTCGCCTCCGAAGGAGGCTTTTGTCTTTCTTGAGCTCTTCTTATCGAGTGGATGCCATTTCTCTCCGCTACCCCCCCCCCCCAAATAAGGAGTTCCTCATTACTTGTAGTTTTTTTAAAAGCGTTCCCTCCACCCTCTGTTATTTTATCTCAAACGGAGACTGAATAAGTCAAGGATTGAAAAGGCTGGCGGGGAAAGGAAATCCAGCATGGAACTGCTGCTAAAGCGAATCTGAAGAGCGGAGCTGTTTTGGCAGGCGTAAATGCAATGTTGGAAGGGGTATCAAAAGGCTTTGGTTAGACTTGAAGACAAAAGACGGCGCGCGTGGAAGGAGAGAGGGCCCTCTAAATCCGCCGGCGGAAAGCGGAGATCGGAACCCAAGTCTCCCGACATGGCCTAAGGAAGGAAGGAGGGAAGGAAGGAAAGGGAGGGAGGGAACGGAAGGGGAAAAAAGAAGGAAGAAAGGAGAGGAGAGAAGAGGAAGGGAAGGAAGGAACCTAGGCAGGGAGGGCAGGAAGGAAGGAAATGAAGGAGGGGAAAAAGGAAGGAAGGAGTCTCAATCTAAGGCACGGAGGTGAGGGAAACGAGGGAGGGAAGAAATAGAGAAAAAGGGGGAAGGAAGGAAATTATTTCACACCCCTCCCCCCCCCCCCTCCGCTACACAAGTAAGGGAAACGAAAAAAGAAGAATGAAGGGAAGGATTCTAGAATTCAGATACACAGGTGAGGGAAGCGAAAAAGAAGAGGGAAGGAAGGAAATGAAGGAGGGAAAAAGAAAGGGGGGAATATGAATCCAAGGTACGGAGGTGAGGGAAACGAGGAGGAGAGAGGGAAGAAGTAAAGAGGAAGGAAAGGGGTAGGACGGGAATAATTTCAACCCCGAGTACACAAGTAAGGGAAACTAAAAAAAGAAGAAAGAGAAGAATTCTAGAATTCAGATATGTTGTTTTGTGTCAGGGGCGACTTGAGAAACTGCAAGTCGTTTCAGGTGTGGGAGAATTGGACGTTACCCAGGGGAGGGACGGATGTTTTGATGCTTTACCATCCTTGGGGGAGGCTCCTTTCATGTCCCCGCATGGGGAGCTGGAGCTGACAGAGGGAGCTCACCGACGCTCTCCCTGGATTCGAACCTCCGTCCTGTCGGTCTTCAGCCCTGCCGGACAAAAGGGTGAAGGGTGCCGAAAAAGACGAAGGGAGGAAGGAAGGAAAGAAGGAAGGAAGGAAGGAAGGAAGGAGGGAAGGAAGGAAGGGAGGGGAGGAGGG